TTTTTTCCTCTGCTCGTGCAGCTGTGCGCAAACATCTGTTATGACTCAGTTCACAGTGACGATGTGAAGGATTGTTTCAGTGCCAAATCTTTTCCTGTGTCAGTTCTTACTGGTAATGAACTCTGTTTTTCCACACACAGTCCTGATGAAGATGGAATAATGAACCTACATAATAAATATGGAGAATGTCGGGTCTTCCCTTTCTGTATTTAGATCTGATTTATGCATATTCAGTGTTATAAATACTCCACTGGCTTTCTCTACTTTCTAGAAACCAAAACGAAGCCTAATGAGTCCACTGGCATTATGGGAATTAAGAAAAACGCCCGTTCAATGGAAAACCTGCTGGAGTATGGAGTGAAAGAGAAACCCAGAGACTGTTCTCCTGCAGCTGAACCTAATCAGAAACCAGGTAGACAGACATCAGGTTTGAGCACTGTATGCTGAGTTGCTAATGTAGTCCCAGCACCACAAAACAGACTTTAGAACAGGTGCCATTCATCTTCTGTTATCTCTGAGCTTGATGACAAACTCGGTCTATGTCTTTATTTCACTTATTACCACTCTGACAGCTGTGTGGAAAGCAAACAAAATCACCAAATCATCACTATCGCCATGTAAATACACCCCAACTGGGCACAAGCTACAATTCCAGTTTTACAGTAACCCTGTCCATTTTCCAATATGGCAACACAAATGATTTACTTTTTTGTCTTTAATTGTAGAAGCTCCTGATATTCCCCCAGACATAAGCACAGCTGAAAAGAGAGGTGAACTTCTGAAATGTAAGTGTAGCAGGCATCATCCCCTCATGCAGCAACAGCAGCCGTGTCTGTTTTTTTTAAAAAAAAATAAAATGGCCTTTCCTTTTTTCCCTTTCAGACGCCACAGAACTCACTTTCGATCCAAGCACCGCCCATAAACGCATCGCGCTGACCGAGAACTTCACTAAGGCCTCGGTGTCAGACGAGCACATAAACTACCCCGACTGCCCCGGACGCTTTGCTGTCTGCTCCCAGGTGCTCGCCTCCAAGGGTTTCTCTACTGGACGCCATTACTGGGAAGTGCGACTGACCAACATTAACTTCATTGGCGTAGGCTTGGCTTACAGCAGCATGGACCGCAAAGGCCCCACCAGTCGACTGGGCCGCAACGTCCAGTCCTGGTGCGTCGAGTGGTTTGATGTCGGCCTGTCAGTCTGGCATAACAGCAGCGAGACCGTGCTTGCTAATCCAAATCCAAAGCGTGTCGGCGTGCTGTTGGATTGCGAGGCCGGCACCGCTACGTTCTATCGCGTGGCAGAGAGGGCGTATCCCTTCCACACTATCAAGTTCCCTTACCCTGCCTTTTTAGAGGCTATCTATCCAGCCTTCTGGATTTTCTCTAATGGCTCCTCCATTACCTTTTGCAAAATGCAACAATGAAT